GCTGAACTCTTCATAATTCACTCTCTTAAAGACTTTTCCTTTACATTACAACTAGGTTAAAAATTTATACACATCATTACAATCAGATGCCCTCTCAGTGCAGGACATCACACAACGAAACTGATCTCAGAAGAAATTTTGCCAAAATATTTCTTATAGCAAACAATACAATTTATTCTTCATAGCTACCTTCCATTCTTTACTGAGCTATAAAGTGCTTGGTTATTATAAATAGAGGAAGAATGTTAAAGGAGGTAGCTAGTAGAGATTTGTAATGGATAAGAAACCTTACCAAGTGTTACCACCTAAAAGTACGATTTGATGCTTAATCCCAGATCTCTAAAGATCCCAAGCAGCATATCTTTCATCTTCTCTACCATAAAAAGAACTTTTAAGTTGCTTTCAGAAAATCCTAAGACCTTCACCTGTACAACAAAGAGATTTTACCCAGGTTTGGATGAATGTTAAAGTTCATAAATATTTCCATTTGACTGCTGTCAGGATCTCAGCAATGAAGTACTGTTCTTTTTCCAGCTGTCAAATATATTCCATAGATAGAGACACTCCACCAGGAACAAATCCTTCCTCATGAAGTTCCTCATAGCCAGATAATGATGTTGTACAGCAGGCTATGAAAAATATAAAAAAGGGCTGCCCATACTTTTCAAGGTCTTCTACACTTGCATTTTTTCATCTGAAAATTCTAGTCCCTTTCTGTTTGCTTTATTGATGGCTTTCACCAGCAGCCAACACTGCACCAGATCCTAAGCTGGAGTAATTGTCAAGCAGCCCTTTATTTTCCTCTGAATGGCTCAGCAGAAGCATCACAAAACAATTTTACAAACTTTTCTATTGAATGATCTTTTACGGAAAGCTTGTATGTACATACACTTAAAACACACACAAGTCCATGAGAAAAAGTCCTCTTCATACAGCAATCAACAACTGATAACCCATTTTATACAGCTTGAAAATTAATTAAAGAATAAAGTTTCATTGCCCACTGTGAACAGAGATACAGAAATACCTAAATCTTTCTGCTACGTATCAGTCTGCTGTTGTCCCAACCACAGCAGTAGGAAGACATCTGGATCTCTGTACTTGTGTTCTTGAAGTCTCCTCCACCTCTCCTTTTTAAACCTGCTTGAACGCGTTTGCTCACTTGTGTAAGCTTTTACTCTTAGGTTAACATTAGTTCTGCAGTATGAGTAATCTTCTCCCACAATTTTCTAAGTAAAGATGGAAGTAATTCTCTTCCAGACACTGTAATTAATTTAATTTTTAATATATTCTAATACAAAATCTGGAATTGTTAAAAATTTATATATACAGTCAGCTCCCCTCATTATTCAATAGATTTTATTTTTTAAGCAATTAAGTTATTAAATTATTAAGCTCACTCAAGATAGCATGTATAGAGGTAGAGTAGGCTTCAGAGATGTAATTCTTACCACTGAAAAATGCGCACAGATAACCCATAAAGCATCTCTGTAGTGTAAGGCTCTCGACTTCATGGAAATCCACTGGAACACTCACTGAGAAAATGAGCATTTGAAGTACATTTCCTCTCTGCAAGTACTGTATCCACAAATCAATTATAAAAGCAAAACGTGACCTACCATTCCCCTGCAGTAGTTCTGAAAGTGGTATTTACTCATCTTTTGATGAAAAAGTAAAGCCATAAAAAAGGGAAACTTGCATTCCTACATACACCCTTTCTGGTACCAATAGACTCACCCATGACCATCGTGCTTATTTTATGTCACCTGGTATTGAAGAATGTAAAAGAAAAGAAGAACAAGATATCTGAGCATTTTTTACAAGATTAACTCCTTCCATTCAATATACCCATGGCAAAGATACCTGGTGACATACCAAGAATCTGCTTTTACACTAGACAATGCATCTGTTAAAAATAGAAGTTTTAAGCCACTAATAAGATAATATTACATTCTAAAGGTAGCATTTATTATGATGCTACTTATCATGCATTTATTTTTTGCATAAAAAAAGGAAAGACACAAGCTTGCAACATTAAATTTCATCAATATTTCACCACAGTTTTTAAATTAATAAAGTGCAATTGAAAAATTGGTGCTGCAGCTATCTAATTTGCTGTATTATAAGCTTTTAATGGCAGGTAAAAAGTGCCCTATACTAATGTATTCAGTACATCACAACTTGGCAGACCGTTTACTACAGTCCTTGCGGAATATACATCTGCTAATAACTTTTTTCATTAGAAAGTTGTCTTCTGACACATAATAGATGCATCAGGACTTAACTGTAATACATTAAATTAACAAATTAGAAAACTGAAACCTAATGCATTGCAAAATATTGTTTTAATTACACTAATTTTGTACAGCAATCCAAAATTTACAAGTTTTTAAATAATTATCCCACTGCCCTTCCATTCTGGATTGTTGCCCAATGTGTATTATGCAGAGAGTTTTATTTTTCCATCTGGTTTTAACTTAATTTTATTATAGCTTGACTTTCTCCCTCCCCCCCCCCCTTCCCCCCCCCATCAGACACAAGTCTATCTAGAAGTGAAGGAAACGGACCTTTTTAATTAATGTTCTCCATTGAAAACAAAAAATTTAAAATACTGAAATATTAAAGATTAATGCTAGGAAGGGATGAATTTAAAAAAGTTTTCATGAGTTACCACCTTAAGAGTTGCACCAAATCATCTTCCTTATCAGTCTTTTTTTTATCCTACTTCCCGAATAACAAAAGCTTCTACTTTCAAACACATTCTCCAAAATATTTGAATTTACAAATTTAAAATTTATTGTTCCTTTCTAGGAACAAGCTATTACAAAATGATTCCCTGATCTAGTGACTTAAAAAGCACAAGAAAAAAGTATTTCATTTACACCTTTAAATCATAAAGGTGATACAAACCTTTGTACGTAGCCTGGATTTTGCATTAGATATGCTGAAACCATTATTTTAAAAGATACCAGGTTCTGCAAATTAGTATAAAAGGGAGTCTGTTTCTTTCAGCAAAGCAGGTCACAGGATCAACTCACAAAGACTATGGATTTACTGGTACCCAAATAAGGTACTGTGCTCACTCAAATCATACAGCTAAACAGATTAATTGCTAACTTTCCCAAGGCATAAACAGATCTTTTGTCTGCAGTGAAGTATTAAAAAGCACAGAATCTAAAAAAAACCCCAGAAGTATTAACAATCCTTGATATCTCCCTTAACAAGGCAGGATTGGGAAACAGTTTTGGAAAAATGTCTGCCCAGTTAAACAGGCTTATAAAAGTGTGTATTATGCTAGCCCAAACAATATTCCCTGGCATCATTTTAACTGGGGAACTAAACTCATCACATCCACCTTGGGTTGTAAGGCATTTCAGCCTACGCAGTCCTCCTGGGGTCTTACAGACACCCGATTCCTGGAAGATGGGAACGCTGCGTCCCTCACCCGAGAGCACAGTATTGGGGCAGTCACACCTCTGACTACAGAGGGGAGAGTTCATGTCACCCAGCTTCGTTAGAGGGAACAGGACAAGAGGAAAACTCATTATCCTACACAGGGTAAATTTCTTATCTTTTTGTTCAAAAATAAATTGCTTTAACAGTCTGCTACAATAATTGGGATGTGCACTAAAGTACTGAGTGAAAATGGATACTTTTAGCATACCTTACCAGAAGGTAAAACAAATAACAAGTAGTGTCAAAAAAACCACAAACAAACAACAACAAAAAAAACCACCAAGGAAAAAAAACAGAAGTTAATCAGTCCCAATTCAGATATGGTTTAAAGTAAGCAAAATAAAGCCAAACTACACACAAATACAGCTCTCAAAATCATTTAAAAATAAAACAAAACCCAGAATTTCCTCAAATTGTATTATAAAATAGATCCTAGACTATTCCTAGATGGTAAGATTCCTCTCTGATGGCCTCCAAACCTTTAAGTTTGCAGAAGAAGGAACAGAGTACCTATTGACAAATACCCGGTTTAAAAAAAATAAAATGTTGTGCCTACTGAAGTGAACTGTCATTCTACAGAATTACCATACAGTTTTACAGAAGTTTGGCACAGTTAATTCAAGAATGTTTTTAGTCAACACCTCCGATTTCTGATGTGATTAACAAGGAAAATGTGACAAAAAACCTCAACACTTCATACCAAATGGGTCATTTCTGTGAGAAAAGAAAAAAAAGTATTACTGTAAGTTACACATCACAGATACAGAAGAATTTTATCTCTTTACAATTAAACTTCGCATCCAAATAGCCAATGGTTAAAAAAACTGAGGAGAGTTGCAGCACTTTTCAAAGGTAGTAGCAGCAAAGGAAAAAGCACTCCAGTAAGAATTATGCTGTTTCCACACATGCTAACTTACGAAAAAAGTTCCACAGGCAATTTAGAAGATGTACTATTGCATGTAATCTAAGACAGCAAAAGTGAATTCTTCCCATCAAAATCAGAGAATTTTAACAATTTTTAAGATGTTCTGTAGTCTTATAATACAGCATTTTAGATAAAATTATTTCATAAATTTCCCAAAATGGTTTGCATTCATATAAGGCAGAACAAAGAGCAGTAAAAGACTTCACAGAATCAAAGCTAAATTTTTAGCTTTTCTTGCAAAAATTAAAAAGTTGTCAAGATTGAAATCTTGATTGCTATTCCTAGAAGAAAACATAGAAACGTGCCAGGAAAATTGCACCATATCAGGAGTTTGGGGAGGTTTTTTGTTTTCTAAAAAAAAGAGAGATGTCAGTATTCACTAGATTTATAAAACACATTAATCTGAGAAACCTGAGTGAAACACTTCAAACACACTGCTGGACAACAAGCAGATAACCAGTCTGCTCCCTTCTAATTTCAATAGCTTGTAACTGCTTAGAACAGACACGTGGAACTCATTTGTGTGAGCTTTTGCTTTTATTCCTCACCAGACAGGATCTGTAAAGCGTGGCCCTGGGTGTGCAGGCAGTGTTTTTTGAAAGAGTAAGGTCAGTACAGAGGTAATACCTTGTTTCCTTAAGAGGAGCATTCCATGGCAGAAATGTGCACTGTTTCAGTGAACCCAAATTATTTTCATAGCAGAAATTTCATTTTATGCATATGATTTCTAGTGAGATTTTCCATTTCTATGAGTTTTGGCTTCCGCCTGTCCGATAAGACAAATGACTTTGTAGCATCCTTTTGCAATTTTGACCATCCACATCACATTCATAACATCCAAGACAACGCTTGAGATAATCCAGGCACTCTGGGCTGCAAATCCTAATCTCTGGAAAGCCTCTGTTCCAAATGAAGAAATTACATGGCTGTAATATATAGGCATGACGGCAATCCTCACCACGAAGAACACAACTGTCATCAGCACACCATTGATGATGTTAGCCTTTGAAGATTTGGGATATCCCAGTACTTCAAAAAACCACCTGCAAAAGAAGTGTTCACAGATACCAGGCAGACTTGAAGCCATCTCATTAAAAAAGGATTTTATTTCACAGTTTTTTTAATTAATAATTTAATTTATTAATTGCTTCTACCCTTCTCATTTCCAAATTATTGCACAGTGTCTTAGCTTAGTTGCAAATTCTTGTGCTTGGCTGCATTTTTTTTCCCCCACTTAAGGCAGTGTGTGATATCCAGTACATTGCAGAATAACATGTAGAAAATCCTGATTTGAGTTGTAAACCAGTTGACAACCAGTGTGCATTTCAGTGACTACGGTGTAATATGCTATAATTCAAACTCTCTTTTAAAATGATAAATACAAATTTATTACTTGTTACTATCGTTTGCACCACTGGGCAACTAAAATTCAATTTGTTTCACTGAAAGCAATTCTAGCGTTGTATTTGGATATAGTAATCTAGATAGAGCTCTCATTTCCAGTTTCTCAGATTCGGGATTTTCTGACTGCTTCTGTTCAGCCTGAAACCAGAACTTCGGAACCAGACATTGTAAATGGCACTGGATCATGTCACAGCTAGGTATGTTACGCAATGAAAAAGATAAATCTAAAAACCCCCTTGCCCACTATTACTACTGGGTCATAAGTGGTCTTTAAAGAAAAATTCTTGCATATTAATTCCTTAGTAGATAGGCATAACTTATCTATTGCCTAGCACACAGAACCTGCGGATTGAATTCCTAGAAAAAGGAACAATAAACTCCTCTAATTCTTTATCATTCACATTTAAACCAGAATAAACGCAAGGAAAATTTGTGCAACAATGGCAGGTTAAAGACAGAACCAGAGGAAAATTACTTAAATCACTGTATTCATGATGGGGGATGGGGAGGGAAGTGGAATAATCAATTTATTTTCAAGAAGATATGAGGGCGAAACTATTTAACAACAGTTCTAGAACTGTTTTAAAAGTAATCTTTAATTTAATTACCTACAGATTACAATCTAGGTAATTACAGATATACTAAAAAAAATTGCCAGACATCCAGCTCTAACAGAAATACTCCAGGAATTCATTAAGAGTGCAACTGAGATAATTAAAATCCAGGCACTCCAGGTGGCAGTCCAGCCTGGAAGTAGGATACCTCACCACAGAAACACTTACTGCGATGATGGAGAGACCTGATATATTTGCTCAGACTAACTATCAGAGCCTGTACTTTCACTGATATATACAATGCAGATTCCAAAAGTAATATAAAATAAGGTTTTAAAATATACTGCGATGTGCCAATATAGGTTACTGTCAGGAAAAAAGGTAACTGGACATCTGCTTAGCAACTTCCCTCTCCCAGCATATTCAAAAAAATAAAAGTCAGTAAATCATAGTTATCATTACAATTTTACCCACCACAGTTCATAATTAATTACATAAATGCTGATACTAACATTAAAAGATCTAAATGCTTGGCATGGAGACAACCTCCAATTAGATATCCCTAACAACACAGACAGGAAATACAAAGAAAATACTACAGTTCTGACATTAGAATATCATTTTATACTTTAATAATAGCTTTTTTGGTAGTACTAAGAATGCAAACAGGAAACATAATGTAAGTCATTATCATTATCCACTAGTAACTGCCTTAAGGGTCTGCTTCTCTTCAAATTTATTGAAAAAAACCCCAAACATTCATGCACTAATGAGATCACATTCCTTAGTACAAGGGACTTTATTATCTCCTACAGAGATTTCAGTTTTTCTGAGAAAGCAGTAAATGTGGGTATTCAAAGATACATGATCTCACCATAGGCATTTTAGAAGTATAACATATATTACTTTTAATAGCCAGATGTATCACGATACTTCCTAATGCCACAGTCTGAAAGGTAAGCAGCAGTATAGGTACCACTTAAAACCAGGATGAATTCCTGTCTTAGTAGAAGTCAGTTGGGAGAACGGCCATTCACTAGGACATGAATTCCAATATAGAAACCTAGAATATAATACCGCCTTTTTTCATCTTCTTACTCTCCGCTTCCTTTTATTACTAAAATAAGTTTAAAGAAGTGTTTATTTACTCCTCAGTTTCTCTGTGCACATGGAGCACAGACTACATTAGACTATAATTTCCTACTCAACTGTGCTTGGCAAATGAAAGCAACCTCTGGAGAGCTCCATTATCCCACCCTGCCCTCATGTAAGTTGAATTTGCCAAGCTAATGTTCAAAAGGGATCTCAGCACAATCTTTTTTATTCTTAGAGATCTGAGGAATGCTACAGTCTCATAAAATATTTCAGAGTTTACAGTCACAATGCAGTAATGGGTAATACTCAGATACCCTGTTTGCAGGA